TGATTAAGGAAATATATACATATTATGGATTTTAAATGATTAAGGAAATATATATTCAAAGAAAATCGAATAGGATAATGATTACTTAATAAATAATTCTTCAATTTTTAATATATAATGAAATGACAAAAGTTTATTTATAAAAATCTTACAAATAAAAAGTTATATTATCAAATGTATTTAAAAAATGTTAATATAGATTGATTTGGTTGGTCAAGTTAAAAATTAAAATAGTTTAAAAAGTCAACTACATTGAATATTCCATACTAATAAAACATGGAATGGTTTCTATTAAAACAAATATTAAAATACTCAATGTTTAAAATTTCGATCAAGATCTTTATAAAATATTTGAAATTAAGAAAATCTTGCCAATTAAGCTAAATTTTAGGCATTGTATCTTACAAATAAAGTTAAATATCAAACGTAATAATTATCTTTCCTTTAATATTGAAAACCAATTTTTTTTTTTTATCAACTGAAAAATGAACGATGGAGATTAAATCTCTAAACCCGATTAACATATCCGTTTAGTTAGTTAGATCCGCGTGTTAACCCAGTTAGAAATGATAATTATTTCATTTTGAAACTATAGTGTAAATTCATTGTGTACTTCAGCTTTAATAGTATAGATGAAATGGCCGACAAAAAAATAAAATAAATTTAATTATATTCAATAAAATATTTCGAACTGCTGAAACGGGTACGAGACGGGTCGGAAAATGGTATGGGCCTATTGTAAGATAAAAGTCCAATAAGATGAGTCGTAGTCGTCGCCGTCGTCGTGGTTATATCGAGCGACGCGGTGAGAGTTACTGATTTTAGACTATCATCGGTGAGCCACCCAACCACCTTCCTATTTTAATTTAATGCTTTCTCTCTTTCTCTTTTCTTTTTTAATAAAATCGAAAGAAATAAAATAAAAAGCCCAGAAAGAGCCCAAAAGACTCAGAGACAAAAAAGAAACTTGTACGATTCATCAATCATCATCATCCTCCGATCGCTCTCTGATCTTCCAAATCTCCGGTGATTTAAGACGATGTACGTTAGAGCACTTCCGACGACGGATGTGAATCGGAACACGGAGTGGTTCACGTATCCTGGTGTTTGGACTACTTATATCCTAATCCTCTTCTTCTCTTGGCTCCTCGTTCTCTCCGTCTTCCATTGTTCTCCTGGCATCGCTTGGACCATCGTTCATCTCGCTCATTTCACCGTATTTTCCCGATCTCCCGATCTGTTTTCCTTTCCAGCTTCGATTTTTTAGATTTCTAGATTTGAAAATTTCAGAGTTTTCTTCGTGATTGTTGTTGTTGTTGTCTAGGTCACGTATCATTCGTTCCATTGGAAGAAGGGAACACCGTTTGGGGATGATCAAGGAATCTATAATAGGTTGACTTGGTGGGAACAGATTGATAATGGCAAGCAGCTTACACGTAATCGCAAGTTTCTCACCGTTGTTCCTGTTGTCTTGTAAGTTCCTTTTCTCTCTTTCAAATCTGATCCCTTTACATATGGGTTTTTGTTTGCATCATCTCTTATTTCACCACCTTCATTAAGTTTAGATTCGAAATTGCTTGGCTCAAAGAGATGCTATAGGTTTCTGTATTTGTTGCAGTTTTTGCCTTTAGTTTGTGTGTGGGAGATGCACTGATCTTTAGTTTGCCCTGCTTGTGTTCTCTTACCGAATTCTGATGTATAAAAGAGATGCCTTTGAATTGTTTCTGTGCTCATTTTACCTCTGGTTCTGTGGAAATGCTCTCAATTAGCTTTTTCCCTGTCTCTTTAGTTACAATTGGTTCCTTGGTAAAGCTGCTGTTTTTGATAATCTGATTGGAATTACTATAAAGTATACATTTTGACTCGTCAATAAGTTATGCTTGCATATACACCAGACCTTTTCATTCTCCTCATTTTGAATTTATGTTTGTTGAGTAGTGCTTCAAAAACTTCAGTTTCTGTGTTCAAACCTGTTTCACTGACTATGGTTGGATCAAAGTTCCCTATTATGCTTGATATCAGTTTGTTATAAGGCTTCTTTAGCTAGTACCCTAGAACATTAGATGTGGAGTTAGATCTAGAGATTCATACAAGACATAAGGTCAGTTGTGAGATCGTTGAGTTGAATCTCTCTCAAAGAATGTTGTTGAGTACCTCAAATTGTTGTGCACGACAGATTGAATCTATGTGACCTGAAAATCTGAACAAACAATGTATGTAGGTACTTGATAGCTTCCCACACAACAGACTATCAGCACCCGATGCTCTTTCTCAACACATTGGCTGTATTTGTCATGGTGGTTGCGAAATTCCCGCACATGCACAAGGTCCGCATATTTGGAATCAATGGAGACCAGTGAAAACCTTGAGAGAAAAACAAAGAAAAAGGTATGTGTACTATGCGAATCAGAGTAGTTGGAATGTGGAATCCAATCACAAATGCCATCGTCGTTCAACATGTCTGTACCTACCATACAGACATTGAATCCCAACAGGAGAGAAAAAAATGTGTTATTTGGTCCCCATTCCGTCGCATATTCAAAACCTTTTCTACTCTTTTGTTTTGGGGCTTATAATCAATTCATATTTGATCTCGTTTTGTGGTCTCTTAGTATCTTAATTTGTGTAATCCCAAAACTGGTTACAACAAAAGTTGTTTAGTGAGCAATCATCTAGGGTTTGAATGAATAGTTGGGGGAAGAGAGAATTTATTATATACGCTGTCTTCTGATATATATAGATTCTTTATTATTAAGATGTGAAATCAAGCAATTGTGAGTCTTTTGTTAATTGGTTTGGTAAGTGTTAACTCTCATCGTCGTCGGTGTTCATTATGATGGGTTCAACATGAATGATGGTGTGGTCCTCAAAGGGAGAGGTCATTATTTGAAGAGAAATTAGAGTCTCTCTGGCCCTGACATAATAATCAGTTATAATCCAAATGGCCTTAGGATTTGACACGAGGCCTCTGGAACAATATCGTTGTTTTTAGCATCGATCTCTCAAACAAAGGATTAAAATTTGGAAATTTATGGTCTTTCAATACATCGTCTAATTAAGTAGAACAAAAGAAACCCATAAGTCTAATAGTATGTGTAAACTTGTTGTTGTTGATGATGCATTTTGCATTATAATGGTTAACAAAGACATTTTAGCACACGTGAGGTAATGCATTCAGCTCAAAAGTGAAGATGACAAAATCGTGTTCCCACCACACCACCCAAAATAAATTATCAATAAATAATTAGTTTATTGTTAATATGTCTTTTTCTCTATTTTTTTTCTTTTTGATTAGGTCTTCTTATTAAGTTTATTATTAGTTTATCAATAAACAATTTAGATGACACAAAACCAAATTAAGAGATCGATTGGTAACGACTGTTACTTGTGGCTGTAGAGACTTTAACTTTAAAATTTTGGCTGCAGAGAATTTGGCTGTAAATGCTTTGGCTGTAAAAACTTTTATTGTTAGAATCTGATTGGCAATGAACAACTTTTAAAGTTATGTATGTTATTTTTATTATTATTATTTTATATTTCTAATAAATATAAATTATATCATAAATGAATTTATAAAATAAAAGTATTATTGAAATGGATCTTAAAAGAACAAGAAAAAATGAGAGTAATTAATTTATAAAAATAAAATATATAAAATATATTTATAAACTTGTGAAAAGGTTTTAAATGTAATGGGGATATGAAAAATAAATCTTTTTAATTGACTGAATTTAAAGTCAGTTTTTTGACGCTTTAAGAAAAATGTGAAAACAAAAAAGGAAAAAAATGAAGTGACTTTTAATGCTTTAAAAAAAAATAAAAGCAAAAAATGTTGATTGGCAAATTAATTACTGTTAAAGCTTTAAAACCATTTTAAAGCCTTAAAAGTCATCACCAATCGCCCTCTAAAACAATAGGGGAATGTTTTCGTCTCCATGTGTTATCACCTTGTTTCTAATTGTTTAGTGAGTAGTTGAGTCACATATATGGGGCTGTAATTGACTCACACAACAACTATAATTTTGTGTTCATTTGATCAAATAATCTAAAACAAACAATGACCAATTCAAAAAATGTGGGGAAAAAATGAAACCAATGAAAACATCATTTTTATCCAATCAAAAATGTATAATTTCATTTATCTCAAATGACTAAAACCGTATTTAAATATAGGCGAATAGTACATTTACACCAGAAACAACCGTATAGAATCTATATCTCAAAATCTAAGGATGATTTAGTGTTTCTTTGCTATATTTGAGCCGACCTGCTCAAATGTAAAGAAGAAAAGTAAAAAGTAGGATAAAGAAAGAAAATTCAGCATATGATTATTGAAAGAGAAGTAGGATTAGAAATATGCAAGTTGACTAAGTAAGTGCAATTGTATTGTTTGACCATTTCAAGAAAGAAAGAAAAACAAAAACAAAATTTTAAGAGACAAGAAAGAAAAAACCAAAGAAGGAAAGGATCTTTGTTCAATTTTATTCGTACCCTTTTTTTTTTTCTTCTCTCTTCTTCCTCTCTTCTTCTTCGTACAATCGAAGAAAAAAAGCTCTTAAATTTCCCAAAATCTAGCTTTTATTAAACCCTCTCTAACTTATCTCTATGTCTTAAAAACCAAACCTTTCTATGTTCTTTTAACCTCTGTCTCAAGGAGATGTAACTTGAAAGAGCGTGACTCGAATCGACGCAAGGTTTTGTTTTTTTTTTTTTTTTTGGCTAAGAAGAGTTTTAAACCCTTTCGTTTCGGATCGCAAGAGTTGTTATAACCAGACAAAAGACAACACTAGACCATAATTTTGGTGAAGGATGTAAGTAAAACAATTTTCTATAAACTCATTCGTCTTCTCTCTGTTGTCTTATTCTTTGCTTTACTCCAAAGCAATCTCCTTTTTTGCCTGATCGTATTCGTTTTGAGATGATTTTATCATCCGACCACCTGTTCCTACCTTTGATGTTAAGCGTAGATTAGTTTAATTTGAAAACCATGGTTGCAAATTTTTGTTCTTTTCAAGCAATTGTCTCTGAAATTTTGACTTTTTGTTTTGTCATGTGAATTTTGTGTGTTTTTTTGTGGCAGAAGCTGTGATGGGTACTCAAGTGAACGAGGAAGAGGAAGACTTGTTCTGTGATGCTCGTGAAGAGGTCTCATCTGTTTCTGATTGTATCTCTGAAGTCGCCGATGAATTTGTTCAAGCCACTGGCGATTTAGATCTCTGGACTATGAATCCTGAGAGTGTTAATAACCGTCGGCAAAAGTTTTTCCAATCTATGGGGTTTAGTTTCAAAAAACGAGACTTTGATCTTGATCTTGATCTTCTGGGAGATTCTTGTTCCGACCATATCCCGGTTTCGAAACAGTTAAACTCTGTGTCTGAAACTGATCACAACGAGGAGGAGGAAGAGGGGGAGGAGAAGCTGTTGAGGAATGAATCTACTTCCTCTGGATCCTCTGTTTCCTCTGTTTCATCATTGTCTACTTCTTCTTTGGCTGAGGCATTTAGTTTCAGGGGTTCATTTCAGAACCGTGCCAAGACCATTGATGATCAGATTTTGCTGACGAGAGATTTATCCGGAAATAGTAGTAGCATTGCTGAGGGCTTGAGTGAATCTGGTTCGAGTAGGTCTGATAGCTATGGAGATTTTCAGAACTCTCCAAAGAGTCGTTATGAAGAATCGCCTAAAAAGGGGGCTAAAGGTTGGTTAAAGAAGTTAGGTGTGTTAACTCATATTCTTGACAAAAATGAAGAGTGCACTGATGGTGAGTCAATGGGATCATCGTTACGGAGGCAACTAACTCGAGTGCAGTCTTTTAAAAAGCAGTTCAAGGAGCTTTCCTCACTGTGTGTCGGACAAGAGTTCTCTGCGCATGATGGATCCATTGTAGTGATGAAGTTTTCACATGATGGGAAGTACTTAGCTAGTGCTGGTGAAGATTGTGTTGTGCGAGTGTGGAACATAACGGAAGACGAAAGAAGAGACAACGAGTTTGAAGTGGTGGAGTCTGATTCAAGCTCTAATTGTGTTTACTTTGGAATGAATGATAAGTCACAGATTGAGCCTCTCAAGACTGAGAATGAGAAGGCTGAAAAGAGCAGAGGCTTGTTGAGGAAGAAGTCAGAATCGACTTGCGCTGTGTTGCCCTCAAAAGTCTTCAGTATATCTGAAACCCCTCAGCACGAATTCCGAGGACATAAGGGTGAAATCTTAGATCTTTCTTGGTCGGAGAAAGGGGTAATTCACTTCTGTTATTGTTTTATCATGATACTTTCTTTTAATGGTAAGATGAGATGATGGAACTAACCACTTGTGATTGTGCTGCAGTTTCTACTGTCATCTTCAGTGGATGAGACTGTTCGATTGTGGCGAGTTGGTTCTTCTGATGAATGTATCAGAGTTTTCTCCCATAAGAGCTTTGGTGAGCTTCTTTCTTTATCTGCCTTCTTCAACTTCTGCTTTTGGTATGTCTTCTTATGCAAATTCTATCTTCCTTTGAGACAGTGACTTGTGTGGCATTCAATCCTGTGGATGACAATTACTTTATAAGTGGATCGATTGATGGAAAAGTCCGAATATGGGATGTGTCCCACTTCCGAGTTGTTGACTATACAGATATAAGAGAGATTGTTACAGCATTGTGCTATCGACCTGATGCTAAGGGTGTGGTAGTAGGTTCTATGACTGGAGAATGTCGCTTTTACCATACAATTGGTACGCTTTAACTTTTCGAAATACCAAACTCGCAACTAAAATCATTTGTGTTTTGATATCTTAATCTTCTTTTGAACTTCAGATAACCAGCTGCAACTGGATAGAGAGATCAGTTTACATGGGAAGAAGAAGGTTCCTAGCAAAAGAATCACTGGTTTTCAGTTTTTTCCTGGTGATTCGGACAAACTGATGGTTACTTCTGCGGATTCTCAAATCCGAATAATCTGTGGAGTGGATACAATCTGCAAGCTTAAAAAAGGTTGTAATCAAGTTTCTGCTCGTTCGTTCAATATTGTAAGTGATGCTGTTGTGAGTTTGTTTGTCATTTATTTATGGTTGATATTTTGGCAGCTTCAAGTCTTGGAACAACACTGACGAGTCCAACATTTGCATCATTCACATCTGATGGGAAACACATTGTCTCAACAATAGAAGACTCAGGCATTCATGTTTGGGACTACTCTCAACCCAACAAAAAGGCCTCTTCTCAGAAACCAAAAACCATTAGATCTTATGAGGGATTCCTCTCCCACAATGTGTCTGTGGCTATACCTTGGCTAGGCCAGCAGGGGAAGGAGGACAATTTCATAGCAGATTTGGAAAAAACGTTTGCTCATTTCCCGGCTCCCATGGACTATTTCTCTCCAATCAAAGGAGCAACTACGTGGCCGGAAGAGAAGCTTGGAGCGGTATCAGGTGCGGCTGCAGCAGCGGTTTCAGCAACAGTAAGCATCAGATCCAAGTTGAGGCTCTTAAGGAGTGTGTGCCAGAACGTTAATAGCTCTTCGCCTCACCTGTGGGGGCTTGTGATTGTGACAGCAACTTGGGACGGTAGGATCAGAGTGTTCCATAACTACGGTTTACCAATTCGGGTCTAAAAGACCCTGAAGCAGCGTGTGTAGACTTGAGAGTTGTGGCAGTGTTAGTGCAGTATTCTTTGATTTTGTTTGGAGCTCACCTTAGCCTTAAAATGCACATTAGGATCATGAGCTAAGTGGGTAATCTTTGTATTTGCTTGTAATTTGGTACTATTTGTATAGTGTGACATCTATATATATTTTTTCTTTTCTTGGTGTGTAATCATTTATTATGAAGTTACCACTCATATAAAGAATGAGAATTTGTAGCCAATCGAATAGTTGGTATATCAGAACAACATCTATATATAAGTATGACATTGTAACGTGACAAACAACCTCTTTTGTGTGTATATATTATTATAGTGTTAGCTTAGAGTTGGAGGTAGTCTTCTTCGTTTGATTTGTGATATTTTGAGAATTTGATTTTAATGTCCATCAAATTGAACATTGTGCCGGAGGAATGGGTGTAGTATAATCCATATCGTGCAGAAGTTTAATATGTAATTCGAAATTAGTATTAAGAAAACTAATCATAACAAGAAATTTTTCATCACAAGTATGGATCAATTGTTATAGGCTTTTTCAACATATTCTTTGCACATACTAAATAAAAAGATTACTACACCATTGGTCATCCATTGGTTGCAAGAAATGAATAAATAAATAAGTTAAAATAAGATCGGTCGGCCCTTAGAATAGCGTTTGTTTCCATAAAATTTTAATGCGCTCTTTTATAGTATATACTAGCGAAGCTATTGCATAGTACCACAGTTGAATATGCAACAAAAGCGAAAGTTTTTCATACCATCAAAGATTTCAAGACAAATAAAAATAATAGAACAAAGTAGTGACGTAGCCTAAAAGAGTAAAAGATGCTATAGTGCCGAGAATGATAGGCCTTGTACGAACAAAAATACTAGGCTTCAAATAAATTACACAAAATCAGACTTGCTTGCCCGTGACCGGGTCCTTGTTACCGGAAGAAGAAGCAGGAGCAAAGAGGGCTTGACGCTTTGTGGGAGGCATTACCGGGTCCTCGACATTCTTGCAGTTTCGGGAAATATGATCTTGATTACCAAAGTTGTAGCAAACTTCAGCAGATGGGCAGATCGTACATGGTCCAACACGGTGTCCCCCGCGAGCTAAACAATTCTTTTTCTTCCCGAGTTTGTTCTTTCTAGAGGTGCTTGCATGGTCAGTGCATGGTGCCTTACTTCCAAAAGTGAATGTTGCAGTTGCAGCCTTTCTCATCTTCTCCTCTTGAATATTTTCTTCTATCAGAATAGCTTTTCGGATAACATCTGTTAGCCGATTAAAATCTGCGCTGATTAGATGTATCCGGATGTCGGGTCTCAGTCCCCTTATAAACCTACGAATATCAGCTTTCTCATTGTTGTTATAATCATTATCATCAAGAAGAAAATACAAAAGCCTCCAAAACTCAGACTCATACTCCCTAACGGACATACTCCCTTGTATTAGCTTAATTAAATGCTGCTCAATGGAATCCCTAGCCTCCGGTGGAAGATACCGCATTTTGAATCCCTTTTTAAACTCTGTCCATGTCTTCTTCATATAGCTCACACGCTCGACTTTTTGCCACCAGTGAATAGCATCTCCAGCCAAGAAACGCACAGCAATATCCATCTTCAACTCTGTGGGACACTTACAAAAGTCAAAGTTCTTTTCCAAACGCTTTATCCAGTCATTAGCATCCAAGGGGTTTGCGACTCCTGAGAATAACGGAGTATTCAGAGTCCTCATATAGCTCAAGAATTTCTGAAACACAAGAAGATCGAGTTACTGATCAGAGTCGACAAATATTCAAATGCTTTAAACGAAATCGTAAAAGTAAACACTGACATGCATCGATCTTACCATTGGTTCACCTTCTTGGTCCAAATCCATTCTCTTGTCTCCTTCCTCACTTAATATAGAGAATGATGAGAGATGGAGACTGAAAGAGTTGTATCATCAAAAGGTTATTTATAGATATGTTAATAGAGGAGAATGCTAAACCTAATTAACCTAGTTCCCTAATATACATAAATACATAAATGGGATAGTTATAAGAAATATACTCAAAAGATATCATTTGAGTCCATTATAATGAAAGCTGTTGACAAAAGAAGAAAAAAAAGATATTCTAACTAATTAATTCTAGATACTTCTACACTTAAAACCTAAAATTTCTTTTCTTAAAATGATCAATGATTAAAAATAAATTAAATTAATGGTTTACAATGGCCTTTATTAATTTATTTAAATCGGTTTTTTTTTGTTTTCACGTTTTGGCCGTTCATAGTGTGAATCTTGCCCACTCACACCACTCACTCACGGCCGAACCAAGCCTCGACCATAATCAACTAATTAGAACAGACGGAAACCTAGTGATTAACCGATTTGAAACACTACAAAAAAAATATATATATTCAAACCATTTCAGAAATGTGTCAATCTAACTTAATACTGACCATAAACATCTTTCTAGCATAAAAGAATCAATGAGAAGCATAGAGAATCATACATTTAAGTAGTCAAAGAACACATATTAGACTACTACTTACAGAGAGAGTTGAGGGAAGGGCACTATTACGATCAAATGATCAGGAGATAGAAGTGGACAATGTTGAATTTTTTTTTTTTTTGTACAAGGAACCGCAAGTAACACGTGTGTGTGTTTGTTGACACTCTCTTGTCTTGTATACTTTGAGCAGTGAGTTAAAATTAAGGTTACTGTTAATATCTACTATTGACACATGCAAACAATGTTTTACATGACATTACTTGGGAATCACTTGGGAATTTATCATGTTTGTTCATGAATTTATCAATTAATCAAAGGGCTTCCATTAAGCAAATATACACTAGAAAAAAATTACAGTTAAAGAATTTAATAAATTAACATGGTGGATTGTGATTTTATACAACAACTGTAACAAGTTTAAGTGGGTGTTATTGGTTAGTGGTTTCCATTAAGCAAAATATAACAAATTATTTTTAATCAATCATTTAAATATGAAAGTGTTATTGGTTTTTTTTTGGGAAAAATTAATTGATAATATTTGAGTAATTAGTTGAGTATTTTTCATAACAAAAATACCCTTTTTGTTTTGTTAGAAAAAGTCAATTTTACCTTTAAAAAAAAAATCCAATTATTTTAATCGAAAGTGTATGTACATGTGGTGACATATTTATTTGTCTCCAAATAGACATTTGTCTCTCTATCAATTCCAGTGATTTTAATCGAAAGTATGTGAATGTCACACAACTCAGCTTCTTGTACTACTTTCTGTATTAACGTCAGAATAGTACAAGAACTGCTTCATCTTTTATGTCAGTTCTATCTAGTCACTTCATGTATCATCGCAATCTCATGAGATGTTAATTCATATAGCTTATAAAACTCTGTCAACACTATACTTTCATATTTCTTCAATGGATTATATTATGTGATCTGTCAAATATTGGCGAATCAAAATTTGTATCTTAGCACCATACAATTTGAAAATGAAACAGAGTTTAGGTTGCTAAGGTAATAAAATCAAAGAACATCATGCTACAAAATCGAGGATTTCACTCATGCGTGATCCATTGTTATGCTTCCCACATTTATGTTTCCCTCCTCCAACTCATTCCACATGATAACCAAAACCCTCGAATCCTGTCCTTAAGCTGTAATTCTAATGCTCACAACGATGGCACATTCTCTTTTCTATTTGAAAACATGATTTACCATAATACTTCCAATTACACATGATGAATTTACCAAGGATCATTAATTAGGCATTTAGGCAAAAAAAGAAAAAAACTAAACAAGAGTTTGGACAATTACGTTGTACTTACCTTAGCATTGATAGAATGTCTACTTTTTTTTTTTTTTTTGCTAACTTGTAAATATCATTAAAATGAAAGATGGGTAATACAAAGATTTACCTAGAGTTAGTGTAATCTTGGCAAAAAGAATAAAAACATGAATACAACTTAGTGGATAGATGAATGAAAAGAAAAGAAGCTATCGCAACCAAAGAAGCATTAGTTTCCTCCATTTCTTTCTATGTCGTCGGCCAGATATGATATTACGGATCTCCCTGTCAATACTTCGGAAAATAGTCGGGTGAGGGAGAACTTGGCTGTTGTGCAGGACATTGTTTCTTTGTTTCCAGACCTGAAAAACAAAAGATTGGACCGCTACCTTTCTGAGAGTAGAAGGAGCTTGTGGGGATCGTTGTCTTGTCCAGGAAAGAAGCTCAGCCCAAGTGAGAATCCTTTGTCTTCCTGGCGTGAGTCTCGTGAAAATCTCAGACCAAATCGCTGAGGAGTAAGCACAGTCAATCATAAGGTGATCTCTGGTCTCCAAAGAAGAGGAGCATAAGCAGCAAAGTGATGAACAGTTAGCTCCCCAAGCGTGCACAAAAAGTTGAATCCTCCGGAACTTTTATGTAGCCTCTCGAAGAGAATATCATAGCCTGGTCGGAGGGCACACTTGAGATTCCGCTCAATGGAGTATAATGCATCGAGATCATCATTTGGCTCCATCTCATTGCTTGGGAAATTCTCGAGTAGTTGGATATATATTGAGATATTGGTCAATGAGTTGTTGCACTTGAATGTGATCCACATAATATTCTTTCGCCAATCGAAGAAGTAGCTAGTAACTTGTTTCGATCATTACATGAGAGAGTGGAGTAACCCTAAATGGATGTTAAAGAAAGAACCTAAGAGCAACATTATATGTAGTATGTTAATTAGGGTATCTTACATTAATTTAGTATTAATTTTTAAAAAGTAGAATTTAAGAGTTTTAATTTTGTTTTTAGTTCTGAGAAGTGTTTATTGGTAGGATCTTAAGTTGGGTATCTTAGAAAAAAATTATTTTTTAAAAAAATTAAAAAAATTAATAATTTGTAATTTAATAAAATCTTATAATTATTGCAAATTTAGAATTTGAAAACATACAAAAGAGAGAGAGATTATAAGATAGAAATTATAACATAAAGTATTGTAAATTTAAACTTGATTGCGAGAAAATTTAGAGTGTTCGACCAAATCGTTCTTCAATTGTTCATGCTTAGCTCGATCTCGAAGTCGAGTTCTAACGGCCATTAGATTGACGAGATTTGAAGGCATATTTGTATTATACGAGAAATTCATTCGTGTACTTCCGGCAGTTTCCGTTTGTTGAAATTCAATGACATCAAACTGAGTATACATATCTCGTTCATCTTCATTTGATTAAAAAATATTTTCCCACTAAATATTTATCATCTCAGACTTTATAAAAAAAAAAAAAAAAATCAATCAATCAGAGTCTGCCACGTAGGCGTCTCTTAAGCCACCAATGATATCTTCTCCAACATACTCCAGCATGGGTATCTTAACATTTATTATGTTTTTTGATTAAAATTTAAATGCTATTAATGTTAAGATACACCTTAAATCCTGCTGATAATGTTGGTCTAATCAAGACCATATATATTAAATAACGAATTTTGAAAAAATCACATTTTTTTACAAACAGATTAATATCTTGCAAATTTGTTTTTCAAAAAGTCTTTATGATCATGTTTCAGTACCATCTCAAACAACAAATCTGAGTATTTGTTTAATTAAAGTAATTCAAAAAGCATTTAGGAGTTTCATCTATAAGATGTTAGCATTTTACGAGTGTACGAAGAGGGGACTTAACAGATTTACTCTGTTGCCTGTAAGACTTTCGTTTAGAAAGCAGGGTCACTTCCATTTCTTTGTTGAAATTGTATTCAATTTCCTTATTTGTTTCAATGATTGTATGAATGGTTTTATGTATCATGTAAACTTTTATGGTGTAAATTAATTGATTTGTTGGGGAAAAAAAGAAGATCACTTTCACATTAAAAAGTCAAATCAAAACCAAAATTCCACACTTAAGCTCTTCTCACTACGTAAAAAGTTGGGAGGGTTGTGTAAAGAAAAAAAAACCCGCACTTGAATTTAGTTTTATGTGCACCTAATTATATTCTGATCAATGACTAAAATAATCTAAATTTGGGTTCAAATTAATAATAGGTAAAAAATTGGGTTTAATTTTATATAATTAGATCTGTTTTACAGTTTCAAAATATTTAATCCAAATTTAGAGTTTATTTCCACAAATAGCTCTTCTTTGACTTGGTAAAGAATGGGGATGGTCGTGTGTTTAATCACTTCATATGTATCCTCCTATATTTCAAAATATTGTGAATCAGGACGATGAAGAAGATTATTTTTGGATTATTAAACAAAGATAAGAGTGTTAAGAAAGAAGGCAGCATCAAAACACCATCAAATGAGAACGTTAACTTCAAAGAGTACTGTCTGATGGATGATCAAATACGAGTAAGTGTTCTTAATTAACTTCTTCGAAAATGGGACACAAGAGGCTAATGGGATCCAGCTGTTTGGGTGTTTACGTCATTGTTTTATTTGATATAACCTATCTTCTCTCTTTTGAATCCTCATTGGAATTGCTATTGGTTTTTCAAGTCATCAAAAGTAGGTTTTGTAATTCTAATATCTAGACGGATCGAAACCGAATTGCTCATACTGGAAAGGTTGAGCGATGGACAACTTCTAAGTTCTAACTCCTGAATGTGTTTTATGGGTTGACAGAGGTACACAAACAGCTTAGACTACCTTTATTTGTGTATCAAAGGAAGGTACATATTTCTAGTTAATTGCAATTATGGTATGTTCGTAATATTTTTAATAATTAGTCAATAATATTTTAAATGTGAAAAGTGGTTTAACTAGAGCTGCGGTTAAGGATTTTGATGGAGTTTTTGAGAAAATGCACTTGGCTATCTCACTTAGTCGAAACGAGGCTTTAGACTCTGTATTGAATGATTTCAAAGAGGTAATTAATGGCATAATATACCCGTGTTATATATACATATAGGTACGTATTAAGGTATATATATATGGTATTGATTAGGTTTTTTCTTTAACATCCATTTAGGGTTACTCCACTCTCTCATGTAATGATCGGAACAAGTTACTTCTTCGACTGGCGAAAGAATATTATGTGGATCACATTCAAGTGCAACAACTCATTGACCAATATCTCAATATCCAACTACTCGAGAATTTCCCAAGCAATGAGATGGAGCCAAATGATGATCTTGATGCATTATACTCCATTGAGCGGAATCTCAAGTATGCCCTCCGACCAGGCTATGATATTCTCTTCGAGAGGTTACATAAAAGTTCTGGAGGATTCAACTTTTTGTGCACTCTCCAAGTAGACATTCTATCAATGCTCACGTAAGTACAACGTAATTGCCCAAACTCTTGTGTCTTTTGGTAAGCCTGATTTATGATCCTTGGTAAATTCATCATGAGTAACTGAAGGTATATTAACTTAGAGTCAAAGGCTCGACTAGTAAAAATTTATAGCAAAAGTTTAGAAGCAGCTGGTTCGAATGGTTTTTGGAATGAGATCATTATAGGATATTCAGCCTAAAATCTCTAAGTTATAGTTTTTTAATTAAAAAAAAAAAATTTGGAAGTATTATGTTTTTTTGTTTTTTTTTTTTTATCAAAGGAAGTATTATGATAAAATCAAGTTTTGTTCAAACAGAAAAGAGAATGTGCCATCGTTGCGAGCATTAGAATTGCAACTGATGGACATGCTTCGGGGCTACTGGTAATCAAGTGAACGAGTTGGATGAGGGAAACATAAATGTGGGAGGCATGACAATGGATCAAAGGAATTAACTGTTTAAAATAATACTCTTTATGTATCACAAATATTGATTTTCTCAAGTTTTATTTTGTGATTTTATGTCAATTTTTAGCATTAACTTTTATCAGTTAATGCTAAAAATTCTAAATTTCGAGAATCATTAATTGCGAATTTAATTTTTGGTAAATTACAATTGGTTCATAGTAATTCAAATATGCTGTTAAGTTGATGACAAAAAATAAAATAATGCAAATATGCTGTTAAGTTGATGACAAAAAAAAATGCAAATATGCTAATATGAAAATAATGCGTTTATACCTTAAAACTACATGTTTTTTTACAAAAATTAGTGTGAAAACTCTATAAAGTCAATTAATCTTTTTTTATGCAGAGGGAGTATAACTTTGTTTTTCTACTCTTTATGGGTGAAAATTTTCTTTTCTTAGTATGATCAAACATAAATGAGGAAGGTATAACATTGGTTTGAAGGAACTTACCAATATAATTATAATATATATGGGGGTGTATTGAATTCAGTAGTTTATAAGATTTTAGGGTGTTTTTAAAATCACATGATTCAATATTTTAACTGATGATTGTTCAAATTCTTTAAAAATCATATGTTATTGATCTTGAAATTTATGAAAGTCATTTAAAATAACTAGGTTATTAGTTTGTATCCATTATTTTAATATATTGTGAGCATATTAATTTTCATGTTATATATTGACATACAGTATGCGAAAGTAGCTATAATGTTTTATTCTAAATTCCAAACATCTTAATATCTTATTATATAAACTTTGGTTTTCAAAGTCAGCCATTAACAAGATCGTGAGATGTGTCAATTATAAACAATAAGCTCTTGACACGTGTCGATTCTAATTTTGTTAATATTTAGATAAAATAGAAATATTATTAACCCTATCGAAAAAAGAAATATATAAAATAATTATTATAAAAAATTGAGAATTTTTGAGAAATAACCCTTTTGGTGTACCCTTTTTAAAAATACCTCTTTTATCTATCCATTTTCAAAAATACCCCTTTTTAAATATAAAAATTATAAAGTTTTATATAGTTTATAAGGTACTTCTATATAATAACTACTACTGGGAGATTAGATACAAATATTTTAAAATGTTTTAAATAGTTTTAAATCGTTTTTATAAGTTTTATAAGGTTTTTAAGAGGTTTTTAAAAGGGTTTATACGGTTTTATAAGGTTTTTACAATTTATTTTTACGCTATTTATGAAAGATATATAAAGTTTTATACACATATAAAGGTAATTTGTGTATATATTTATAAGCTTACACACATATTTGGATAAATTTCAATATTTTTAGTGGGTTTTTTGGTAAGGATTGAAAATGAGGTATTTTTAAAAAGAGGTATATGAAAAGGGGTATTTTTGAAATTCCCCCTAAAAAATTATATATTAAGAAATTATTAATAAAATTAAACAAATAACCTAATTTCAGTTATGTCAATTTGGTTTATTAATACAATAAGGATTTAAAAATTATAATTAACAAGAATATATGTCGGTTTTTATTTACAGAAGAGGATTAAGGTTTAAACTTTAATTTAACAATCAAAACATGTTATTTGTTGGTTTGGGTATATAAATGATAAATGAGAATTATGGTCTATCTTTGTAAATTTAAATTATGGTTAAAGTTTAACAATTAAACGAGATTATATGTCGAAACTTAGTTTTTAAATTTACTAACTCACGTGATCATGATAAGTGTCAAGTAAAACATAAGATGTTGCAACATGATGTATCTAATTTTGTTAATATCAAAATAAAATAGTTTTTTAAAAAATATTAAAAATAAAAATTGATAAAATAATTATAAAAAATTAAAGAGAATTTTTAAGAAATACCCCTTTTGGTGTATCCCTTTTAAAAAAATACCCCCTTTATCTATCCATTTTCAAAAATATCCCTGTTTAAATATGAAAAATTATAAACTTTGTATATGGTTTATAAGGTACTTCTATATAATAACTACTACTTGGAAATTTGATACAAATATTTTATAATGTTTTAAAAGGTTTTAAATATTTTTTACAAGTTTTATAAGGTTTTTAAAAGTGTTTATAAGGTATTTAAAAGGTTTTTAAAAGGTTTTTAAAATGTATTTATAAGTTATTTTACGCTATTTCTGAAAGATATATAAAAGTTTATACATATATAAAGATAATTTGTGTGTATATTTATAAGTAGTTACACATATTTGGATAAGTTTCAATATTTTTAGTGGTTGGTTTGATGAAGTTTGAAATATGGGTACTTTTAAAAAGTAGTACTGGAAAAATTGTATTTTTGATAAATTTAAAAGTAAAAATAATTGATATTTATCAAAAAAATATGTGTAAGCTTATATATACAGATACAAATTATCTTTATATGTGTGTAAATTTATATCTATTTTCATAAATACCGTATAAATATCTTTTAAATATTATTTAAAAGCCATATAAAAACTTTGTAAACCTTATAAAAACCTTACAAAAGTCTTACATGTCGTTTAGAACCTTTTAAAATTTTATAAATATTTGTATTGAGTCTCCCAGTAGTACCGCTAGATGTACCTTATAAACTATATAAAAATTTACAATTTTTCATATTTGAAAAAGGTATTTTTAAAAATGGATAGAAAATTGGTGTATTTTTAAAAAGGGGTACACCAAAAAGGGTATTTCTCAAAATTTCTCTTTCAACTATTAACTTATTTTTGGTTTTGCCAGTTGTAGGTTTTACAATTATAAGGGTTATGTGTTGGTTTGAGTTTATAAATGTGTATTATATTTTAGATTTTATAATTAAACGAGATTATCTATTGGTTTGGGTTTATAAAAGAAGAGTGAGATTTAGGTTTTACAATTAAACAAGGTTATTTATCAGTTTGGGTTCATAAAGGAAAATTAAGATTTACATTTTAAAAATAAAATAGATTTTGAGTTTAACTAAATAAATATTTTTATTCATGATTTTATTTTATAATATGTTATATTTGTTTAATTTTTAATTTATGTATGAATGTATTATGCCAGTGAGCAATTTCATTGTCTAAAACATTAGGGTGAATAAAAGATTTTTGAAAATAATATTTTTTTAGCTTAAATTAAAGATAACAAAAGTTCAATATAATTTATAATATAGTAACTTAAAATTTTTTTTTTTTTGAAATATGTAGTTTTTTATAATTCGAATGTGAAAGATTTTTTAATGTTTTCCTCAACGATACTATAATTTATTTTAGAATCTTTATGTTTATTTGCGTTGTTTATATGAATTTCTTTACAAATAACTATATTTGTATTTAACATCATATTTTAGATTGATGTTAATTTGAAAGAAATTTACCATCATATTAAATAATAATTAATTAATTTTCATAGTCTGAGAATGATATTTTGAAAAATTGAAAGTTAAGAATTAAAAATTTTTACAAAATGGTATAATCATTTTTAGAGGATAATTGCTAAAATAAGATTTTTTAAATATTTTAGCAATATTATGAATAATGGCGAATAGCTCCCAAATGTTTTGGTGATTGTCAGTTTGACATTACTTGATTTTTATAATTAACGTTTAATAACCAATTTTAAGATATATATACACGTTTATTTGATACTTCAAACCAAATAAATCACTTTCCAAATGAAAATAATTTCTCTTATTTTTTCAAAAAACAGATTTGGAATTTATTTTTTTAAGTGATAATAAATTTTAATTTTAATTTAATTTTAAATAAAGATAACCCGTCCATCGGACGGGTACTAAACTAGTTTTTGTATATAACATGCTCATGCCCATAACATCTTTAGTTTTGCCAATTTTAATGACAGTTGCCGCAATATGAGCACTTACAATAAGCTATATGCCTATATCTATCTATGTATACTGAAGAAGAATTTGCATCTTGATCCATTTTCTTAGCGTTAGACTAAGTATTGTGAGAATGAACAATATCCTAAAAATGGGCAACAAAGATACTGGCTTCCATAAATAAATTATTTTGTGACTTAGTAAGCACGGAAGATAATTAGCAAAATTTTCATTATTTATATCCGTCTCGATCTGGAGAATTAAAAAAAAACCCAGCATACTATTTCTTACGAGCAGCGAGCAGTAACTTATATGCTATGTTTTTGTGATTATATCTCTTGTTTGAATTTAGTTAGTCATTACCGCAACCGTATGTGTTGTTCTTGAATTTATATAGTAACTAGGTTTGAACCCGCGGTACACCGCGGGTCTTTGTTTGTAAAATTTATCTTAGATATAACTTCCCTTTTTAGTTTATATCTTTTTATTGTTTGTATATGATGGTTTATTTAGTAGTTCATATTTTTTTTTAAAAGGTATTGTTTGTTGTTTTGTGGTTATTTTTAATTTACATTTAGCACATATTTATAAGAGTGAATTATTATTTTTGTAGTTAGATTATGAAGTTTCCAAGGTTAAATTCTTATTTTTTTAAGATGGTTATCTTTCGGATTTGGTTCTTATTATCACTGATTTAAGGTTTACTATGGCATTTACTACTTGTTGGACATTTGGAGTATAGTTTGTGGTAGACAATATTGTATTTTTTGTTTATAAGTTCATATTTTTTAATTAAAAATATAATTTAATACCTTAGTATTTTATTTGAGAAAATATTTAGTTTTATAAGGACAAATAATGGTTAAATGTTGTTTTCATTAATATATGTAAACTAAATAAGGCCTGGAAGTCATATTTAGTAATGTTAAGAAGGGAAGTATTCTGCTTTGTCTATAAAATATAATGTGATTCTCAGAATCTTCAAAACCAAACCGGTTAACACATGGATTCAATCAACAAATAAGTAAAATTGATAAACCACTAACCAAAACAATAAATGAAGTAAACAAAACAAAAAAGAAACCGGCCATGGTCTTTTTTTTTTTTTTACCTCTCTCGTCTCTTTGATGCTAGCAAAAGAGTAAAGACCACCGCATAATCTCATCAAAAAATTTTTGGGCGATGTCAGTATATCACCTTTTCCCGTTTATATTTCTATAGTTACCCTAAGAATCTACAATGCGATTCGACTGTTATTAGTCGTTATCTGCCTTCTTCCGATGCAATCCTATGGAGGTAGTGGAGATCCAATTTGGGCAATTGAAGTCAAAGATGTCCGAAACCGAACCTAGATTTGGAGGCTTACCGAAACGTGATTCATTGTTACACGAATGAATTTTGATTTGTTTAGGTTAGTTACTATTAGATTTACTTTTATCTTCTTGTTTAATTAGCTTGTGTATCCTGAGTTAGTGATTAAAATTAGTCATTGTTAAGTATTGATTCGAAGTATAGCATGAGTAAAATTATAACCGTTCAATAGCCGATTAAAATGATTGTGTTTAAGATCATTTGTGGAAAATTTTGAGTGTACATGTTCTTAAGAAACTGAAAAAGACCTTGTGTAACTGTTAAATTCTGCAAAAGTAGGCATGGTTGGTAAATGAACTCCATTGTTTTGTAATAGTTTGTTGAATCTTACATTACTATGTATTTGTTTGTGTCAGAAGATCGTCCTTGCTATTTTTGAATTTTTTAGAACTAAATCAACGAAACCTTTAAAACTCCTTAGTTGTTCAACTGTCCTAATTTGTTATTTTGGCATTGGAAAACTTGTTGTTGTTTATGAATTGCAGATCCATACATTGATCTTCATAGTATTCTGATTACGTTTGCAGGTTTGTGCCCTAATTGGATTGATTGGCAAGTCATGTAACTCTTTCCATGGCCTCTTGCTTGGGATTACCTTACTGGTTAGTTTGGAATCTTCTTATTCAATTTTCTATGCCATGGTCTCTACTAATTTGAATAAGATAACCAAAACTTTAAAAACTGAATAGTTGTTAGGATAATCTGTAATTATGAATCAATATTTGAACATAGTTGCCATGTAAAGTTTAAAAAGAAGAGTTTGTTTAATATGAAAAACGAAAGAGTTCTTTTGTAATTGCAGAACAAACTCCACTTCCCTTGTTTGTTGTTGTCTGGAATTTTAACCTACACAGATAATGAAACAACTATAGAAAAGATGCATATCATAAAGCTTTACATATAAGTAGCAGAGTATATTTAGAATTGATACCTTGATGAATTGACAACACTATCCACTAATGTCTTGTTTATCGTCATTGCGAAAGCGACATGGTGATGTTTGCTTTGTAGAGTAGAAAGATGCGTTATTTTTTTTGGTGATTGTATGATTCAAGCTTCGATATATATATTTATAGATAGGTTGCAATATGTTAGGGTAGATCTTTTTTGTATGTGGATTGGCTTGCGAGAGTCGTCGGGTCTTTATGAATTTGATGCAATATTAGGAAAATTAATATGTTTTAGAATCAATTATTGGCGAAAATTATGTATATTCATAAGATTCTACTGTTACGATTGATACAAATCTATGATTACACGTATATTGATTTACTGATTTTCGATTTGGTATTTAATAATTTAATGGTTTATGGTTGCTGATTTTCGGCAAAATTAATTTCAGGAACTATAGAGACAGAACGTGGTGGGCTTAATAGAGGGTTTCGTAAAAATTGTGTTGTTGAATTTTGTTATCGAGCCTTTTTAAATATATATTAAACCCAATTAAATCGCAAACCCATTCATGAAGTTTACTCTACACATGAGTGGCGAAGATCCACTACGCTTTTCGCCGGGTTATAAGGGACGCGCGGACCCAAGATGGGTCTGAAATTGGATGTAATGTTTGTACAATTTTAACCCTATTGATTTTAAAAATAGCTCTCTATCATAAAAAATTGAAGGGTAATTTTTGGAATTTTTTGCCAAAATTCTATGATTTTCAATTTTGTACTTCTCTTTTAATATTAAGAAGATGAGCTCGAATTTTCAGCCACCGTATCAACTTCCTAAAACTATTGATGACAAAGGGTACGTAATGCATTTTGATAATTCCATCTCAGTTTATCAATCAATACTGATGATAAAGTTGTAACCCATATCTTTTAAATTGATAAAGAGTGTTATCCAAAAGAGGGGACGTTGATGAAGCGTGTGAGAAGATGCATTTGGCTATTTCATTGAGTAGAACCAAGCTGTTGGACTCTGTTCTCGACGAATTCAGAATGGTAAGGATAAGATTTTATACATTCGTGTGTTTGTTCATATTTATAAGGATATGTGTGTGTGTACGGATATATAGTCGTGTTTTGATGAGTTTTCGTGCACTTGCGTGCGTAGGCCTACTTGAGTCTCTCATTGGAAGATCGTAAGGTGCTATTGCTTGTCTTGGCCAGAGAGTATTACATCGACAGGACTCATGTCCGAGAACTCATTGATCATTACATCAAACTCAAGATCATTAGCCAGACAGAATCACCTACACCGGGTCTCGATGGCCCTTTGAATCGCATTCGCTGGAGTCTTGGACACGCCCTCAGGCCAACATATGCCGTGCTTTTCGAGAGGCTTAAAAGAAGCAATGAAGGGCCGAAATTTTTATGCATTCTATCAGCTTATTTAAGTTAGCTTAAGTCTCCTTTAGCTTAAGTATAACTCCACTGTATTCTATATATAAATACAGATGTAATCACGTTCTTTGATTCATTAATGAGAATTACAAGTTTAATATCTTTCTCTTTCATAAAGTTGTTATGGTATCAGAGCATTTCTCTCTCTAAAACAGAAGAAAATCATCTTTCTTCTTTCTTCTTCCGCTTTCATCATCTTCTCCATGGATCTTTCTTATTTTACATCAGATCTTCAATTCCTCTTTGATTCTTCTTCGTTTCTTTGAGAAATCATCATCTGTTTCATCAATTTCTCTTTATCTTGTCCCAAATCTCTTGCTTATTCTCATGAGTGCTTCGTTTCGCGATGTTTGTATCCCATGGGTAGCGATTCTTTTTCTTGCGATTGTTGACCATCTCATCGGTGTTATCTTCTTTGTTTTGTTCTCGATTTCATTTTGCAATTGAGTTTTGCAACAGATCTGTTCCTCTAATGGCTACTCCTACTACAAATCAAGATACGACTCAAGTTTCGTCAACGGATCAATACAATAACCCGTACTTTCTTCACAGTGCTGATCATGCGGGATTAATCCTTGTCTCCGATCGATTGAGTTCTGGTGCGGACTTCCATTCTTGGAGGCGTTCAATTCGGATGGCTCTCAATGTCCGTAATAAACTAGGCTTTATCGACGGTACAATTACTAAACCATCTGAAGATCATCGAGATTTTGGTTATTGGTCACGTTGTAATGATATTATCACAACGTGGTTAATCAATTCTGTGTCTAAGAAGATTGGCCAGAGTTTGTTGTATTTTCCTACTGCTGCTGGAATTTGGAATAGTTTGATTTCTAGGTTCAAACAAGATGATGCTCCAAGAGTTTATGAGATAGAAAAGCGGCTTAGTTCTTTGCAACAAGGATCTTTAGATGTTAATGCATACTACACAGAGTTAGTAACATTGTGGGAAGAATTGAAGAATTATGTTGAGTTACCTCTTTGCACTTGTGGAAAGTGTGAATGCAATGCTGCTGCATTATGGGAAAAGTTACAACAGCGCAGTCGTGTTACCAAATTTTTGATGGGCTTAAATGAAGGTTTTGAGTCTACTCGAAGACACATACTGATGCTGAAGCCTATCCCAACTATTGAAGATGCTTTCAATATGGTCACTCAAGATGAAAGGCAAAAACACATCAAACCTACTAGGACTGAGAGCGCAGTGTTTCTTAATACAGGTCCTTCTCCACAGCAAATAGTATCCTCTGGTGATGCTATACCATATGCTGTTTCACTGGATAATAATGCTTTTGCTATTCAACATCAAAGCCACAGTGGCTATCGTCCTAGAGCACAACGTCCTCTATGCACACATTGTGGCCAAACAGGTCACATTGTTCAGAAGTGTTTTAAACTACATGGGTATCCTCCAGGCTATATTCCGGGTTACAAGAGCAATGGATTACATCATGCTAATAGTGGTTATAACCATGTTCAGCGTCCTTTTGCTCCATCTACTCAGCCAACTACTCAATTTAGAGGACAAGCTCCCTCTTACAGGCCTCCAACTGTGGCGAATGTGATGACTGATTACAATGGTTCTTACTCATATCTCCCTCCTCCCACTCAAGACAACAACATGAATCTGAATATTAATCAGATGAGTCAGGATCAGATTCAGTCATTGATACAACAATTGTCTACTCAACAACTCACTGCATCTGTTCAAGTTTCAGAGCCCTCGGTCCCTTCCTCACAAGCTTTAGTTCCATCATCTTCTATTCCTTCTCCTTTCACTGCCACAGTCACTGCACATGGTGCTATGGATCCTCAATCTTCTGCTGGTAATCTTGTTTTTCCATCTTCTTTTCCATCATCATCTTTACGTTTTCAAAACAATCAGTTTACTTTTCAAAACCAATGTTTATCAACTCTCTATTCTAATCTTCCACATGGTTCTTGGATAATTGATAGTGGTGCCACTAGTCACGTTTGTTCTGACTTGACATTTTTTAGTGAAACTATTTCAGTCTCTGGGGTAAATGTCTCTTTGCCTAATGATACTAGAGTGGCTATTACACACACAGGCACCATTCCCATTACATCCTCATTGATATTGCATAATGTTTTACATGTTCCTTCTTTCAAATTTAATCTCATATCTGTTAGTAGTTTACTGAGGTCAAGTAACTGTTCAGCTCATTTCTTTCCTGATTATTGCTTTATTCAGGAGTTTATTCAGGGATTGACGATTGGTAGAGGAGTATTGCTGCATAATCTCTATATTCTACAAGTTGATGTGCCGTATTCATCTGTCTCTTCTTTGCATTTTTCTGGATCCTTGATGGCTGATGGTGAACTTTGGCACAAACGCCTAGGGCATCCATCATCTGCCAAGTTACTGCAATTGTCTGGTACTTTGCCAATTATTAAGTCTTCTTTAGAACATCCATCTCATTGTTCAGTATGTCATTTAGCTAAACAAAAGCATCTATCCTTTGAGTCTCATAATAATTTTTCAAAATCACCATTTGATCTTGTTCATATGGATGTTTGGGGTCCCTTTTCAACAGAATCTATAGACGGTTATAGGTATTTTTTAACTGTTGTTGATGATTGTACTAGAGTAACATGGATATACCTATTGAGAAATAAAAGTGAGGTTTCTAAACATTTTGTCTCTCTTATTGCTCATGTCAAAACTCAATATAATTCAATCATTAGAGCAATTAGGACTGATAATGCACCTGAGCTTGCTTTTCATGATATTGTTAAAGAAAATGGTATGACACATCAATTCTCTTGTCCTTATACTCCTCAACAAAACTCAGTTGTAGAAAGAAAACATCAGCATCTATTAAATGTTGTTAGAGCTTTGCTATTTCAATCTAATATTCCATTAGTATATTGGACTGATTGTATACATACTGCAGTTTTCCTTATCAATAGAATGCCTTCTGTTATATTGAAAAATCTTTCTCCATATGAACTATTACTAAAGAAAAAACCTGATTACTCATTTCTTAGAACATTTGGTTGTCTTTGCTATGTTTCTACTTTGTTAAAAGATAGAAATAAGTTTAGTCCTCGTGCAGATAAATGTGTCTTTCTAGGCTATTCATCCGGTTATAAGGGTTATAAAATCTTGCATTTAGACACTAATGTTGTTTCTGTCTCAAGAAATGTTATTTTCCATGAAACAATTTTTCCATTTCTTGATGAATCACAAACTGTTTCTGATGATATTTTTAGCAAGATCATTACACCTTTACCTGTACCTACTGCTATAGATAATACAATAGTGTTACCAAATATGCATCCTGTCATAGCATCACCTGCATCACATTTGCATCACTCCCGCTCTAGTGTCACACTAGGTACAACTGAGACTATACCAGCGGAGAATGATGTGGTTTCACTTCCAAATGCCAGGCCAAAACGAACTGCTAAGGTACCCAATTACTTATCTGATTACCATTGTGCCTTAATTCAGTCTACTTCTTTACCAATTCAAATTTCACCTGTTTCATCTAAACCAATCAAAACACCATATCCTCTTTCTTCTTACCTATCATACAAACAGTTCAAAGAACCCTATCAGTCCATTATTCTTTCTTATTCATTAGAAACAGAACCATCTACCTTCCAACAAGCCATTATTTCTGAAAAATGGACTAAGGCTATGAATGTGGAACTTGGGGCTATGGAACTTACCAAAACTTTCAGTGTTGTATCTCTTCCTCCGGGTAAGAATGTTGTAGGTTGTAAATGGGTTTACACCATTAAATACAATGCTGATGGTAGCATTGAAAGATACAAGGCTCGGCTGGTTGCAAAAGGCTATACTCAACAAGAAGGAGTAGATTACTTTGAGACCTTTTCACCAGTAGCTAAGCTAGCAAGTGTGAAGTTTATGCTTGGTCTTGCAGCTAACAAAGGATGGAGTCTTTCTCAAATGGATGTTACTAATGCTTTTTTGCATAGTGACTTAGATGAAGAGATCTACATGAGTTTGCCGCTTGGGTACACACCTGCTTCTGGAATTCTTCCTCCTAATGCTGTATGTTGTCTACACAAATCTATTTACGGATTAAAGCAGGCATCCAGACAATGGTATAAGTGTTTCTCCAATGTCTTACTTGCAAATGGATATACTCAAGCTCCTCCGGACAACACATTATTTGTCAAGTTTACTGATACATCATTTATTGTTGTATTAGTTTATGTTGATGATATAATGATTGTGAGTAACAATGATGATGAAGTGACAGCATTGAAGACTGCATTTAACAAGGAGTTCAAAATAAAAGATCTTGGCCAGCTCAGATTCTTCTTAGGCTTGGAGATTGCCAGGAATTCTGAAGGTATTTCAGTTTCACAGAAGAAGTATTGCCTTGATCTACTCAATGATACTGGTTTACTAGGCTGTAAACCCAAGGCAGTCCCGATGGATCCAAAGGTAACATTGACAAAAGAATCAGGTACTGCTCTCTCTGTAGATGATGGGAGAAGATATAGGGAGCTAGTTGGAAGACTCCTCTATTTGACTATAACAAGGCCAGATATAACATTTGCAGTGCATAATCTGAGTCAGTTTCTCTCTTCTCCTACCAATAAACATATGCAGGCTGTCTATAATATCCTGAAGTATTTGAAAGTCAATCCTGGACAAGGCTTATATTACTCAGCCAAGAATGATACTTGCCTCAATGCGTTTTCAGATGCTGATTGGGGTACGTGTCCTGATTCACGAAGGTCAGTTACAGGGATTATGATATTTCTTGGAAAATCTCTGATTAACTGGAAATCTAAGAAGCGGAAAGTGGCAAGTCAAAGCAGCTGTGAATCAGAGTACCGAGCCATGGCTTTAGCGACAAATGAGCTTATTTGGATGCAACAATTATTGACAGTTTTACGCATTCCGGTTCAGTCTCAAGCTAAGCTGTTCTGTGACAACAAATCTGCAATGCACATTGCAAATAATCCTGTTTTTCATGAGAGAACAAAGCATGTGGAGATTGATTGTCATGTTACTAGAGATCAGGTAAAGAATGGGTTCTTGAAGGTTCTTCATGTTTCAACAACAAACCAGCTTGCAGATATTTTGACAAAACCTCTGCATCCTGGACCATTCCATTCTTTACTTAATCGCATGTCTGTTTCAAGTCTCTTTCTTCCTCCTGATTTGGATTCAGAGACTTGAGGGAGGTGTATCAGCTTATTTAAGTTAGCTTAACTCTCCTTTAGCTTAAGTATAACTCCACTGTATTCTATATATAAATACAGATGTAATCACGTTCTTTGATTCATTAATGAGAATTACAAGTTTAATATCTTTCTCTTTCATAAAGTTGTTACATTCTTCAATGCGACATTCTATTAATCCTTAGGTAAGTAATTAATTAGGATATGTTTTTTTCCATGTATACGTAACATTATAGTTAATTTATTTTATTTACTTTTTAATTTCGCAGAACAGATAATTTGTCGTCCTTGCGAGCATTGGAATCACATCTAAAAGAAATATTTTAAGTGTCGGTTGAGACTGTACAAAGGTTTCACTTTGTCCAATTACTATAGACCAAGCAATACAAGTTTGTGCTTTTGGCCCTAATTTAGTTACCTATTTGAACGGTCGTCATGTTAATAAAATATCCTAGACTTACCAAATGCTAATAGCTCAAACGGTAAAAATTTCTGGTAAAAACTTAAAGATCGCCGGTTTGAATAACGCTTGGGACGAAACCATATACAACATGTTTTGGATTCGAGCATGAGGGGATGTATGAGTTTCGGCCTATAACCTCTTTGATTATTCAAAAAAATAACATTCTAGACTCCTAGTAGTAGTTAAAGTGGCTTGAGAATAAGAGAGAGGGTGGTGAGTTTGGTTCTTGTCATAAAATTTAATTTATCCTTAAAATTTTACTACGTAATCAGACTTTTTAACTTTTATTGGAACAAATGTTTGCTCTTAAAAACTTAATACAATTACTTTGTTTTTAGTTTTAAATCTAAATCTCCATGTTGTACAAGAACATCCGAAACTATACAATTGTTGTAATTTTGCTGATTCAAAAGAAAGTGGTTAATGCGTGTCATCACTCGTTAAAAAAATGCACCTTCAAAGCTGCCCAAGTCCAAAGAAGAATAGAAGAAGCTCGACGTTAAATCCAACCAATGATCATCGAGTTTACCATGTCCCAAACTCTTAGTTTGTCGTTGGTTTTAGTAGGGTTCCATACTTCATTATTAAAACCAAGTTTTTTTCCAACGCTTTTCATGTTATATATGAGGAGAAACGGAGTTTATACTTGTCCTGAATGATCGGAGGCATGAAGACAGTAAGGAGAGACCAAACTTTGATCGTTTGATGATTTGCTTGATTCTTAAGTTTTTTCGCCTGTTTTGGTTTCGGTATTAACAGTATCGAATAAGATAATGAAAAGAAATTTAAAGAAGATAGAAAAACTAATGAACTCAAATGAATTTGCGAGGCGACGGAAGTGAGACACGACTTGTGAGTTGAAGGTGAGATG